CTGGTCTTTAGCAGGTGGACCTCCACGTGACGGAGATTAGGAGGAGGTGATGATGGGTCTGCGGCCGCCCCGTGAAGCAACTGATGCGTAGCCTTAACCAGGTTCGCCCAGTAGTTGAACTGTGAGGTGTCTAGCAGTGGGTCTGGAGAGCGTGTTTGCGTGAGGCTGCAGAAGATTGTCTGCTTGAGCTCAGAGGGATCTGCTGGGTTGACGGATTCTGGAACCGAAGGCCATTCTTGTGGTGGAGAGCGGAGGAAAGCTGGACCCTGGATCCATCGATTTAAAGTGGTTAACTCGGCCAAGGTCTTACCCCTCGTTAGGTCGTCAGCCGGATTGTTTGTCATATCTACATACTGCCAGGTGTGAGAGGCAGTCAGGTCTTGGATCTCAGAGACCCTGGTCCCAACGAAGACCTTGAACCTGCAGGACTCAGATGTCAGCCAGGTCAGGACTGTAGCTGAGTCGGTCCAAGTCTCTGTGATGTTTAAAGTGAGCTCTCGATGGATGAGGGAGGACAGCTGACGTGGCATTGACTGTTGGCGTTTTGGGGCTACTCTCGACCTGGCCATGACAAAGAAGACGTGAACTGCATTGTTGATGGTGGTTGTGGTGAGATAGGCGACCGAACCATACGCCTGTTCCGAGGTGTCACAGAAGACATGGAGAGTGTACTCTGTAGCTTCAGTAGCTGCTTCCAATGGAGCGTATGTTCGGAGAATGGACACACCAGCCAGTTCAGGAAGCTCACTCTCCCAGCTCGACCAGGCCTCGATGATCTCTGGAGGAAGGTTAGGGTCGTCCCAGCTCCTCTTCTTGGCCCACAACGTTTGAACGAGAACTTTAGCTCTTGTTGTGTAGGGGATGATGATCCCAAGCGGGTCATATTGCCGGGCGAGCACCTTATAGACACATGGTGAGTGCATGGTGAGTGTTTGACTCTCTGCAGGAGCTGTTCATTGAGTGAGAGGCCGTTACGGACGAAGGAGCAGTCCAACATGAGACGGGGCTTGCCGTTGTGGTGAACGAGGTGATGGGGTATGAACCATGACTCATTGGATGCCTTCAACTCATCTTCACCGAGCTTGACTACACAGCCTCCACTGATGAGCTTCTGGATCTCTGCCTCGTATTGTTTAGCTAGAACTGGGTCTCTTCGTAGTCGCCTCTCTGTGCCACGGAGAAGGGGCATGACTGCTTCAGGTGTGGCCTTGAGTGGTGGTACCCCTTTGATACGGAGTAGTGGTGTGGCGTAGCGGAGTGTGTCAACCACTTTGACTCTTTCAGTGCGTGTCTCAAGGATGTTGATGGCTTCTTGGTCTAGACGGGATCGGACTGCTAGCTTCTCGTTTCGAAATGGGAGGATTTTTAGCTGCCAGAGACGTTCGATATGTTGGTAGAGGTCATCTGGTGCTGGTGTGAGGGAGGTAAAGTAGCAGGAAGCAGCATTAGAAACCATACTGTCTGGACATTGAAGTGCCCAACCGAGGCTTGTGTGGATTGCTGTTGGGCTGCCCTTGGGTTCAACTCTCACTGGCTCTTCAGCTGTGATCAAGTGTGTGCAATCTGTGCCGATTAGTATCAATGGTTGCACTTCACTAAAGTCTGGGAGTGGGCGGTCCTGTAGAATGCGATAACGTTCCTGTAGTGGGGGCATGGGGTAGGATTGCTCTGCTAAAGCAAGTTGGCCTGCTGTATAGGCATCTTTAATAAGGTGGCGCTCTTTCGGGTGTGCTAGTGGGGCTACACAGAAAGACACAGACTCACCAGCAAGATGGGCGACATCTTGGCGGATGGTGCGGAGAGTGAGGGTCTCTGCTTTACCTTTGAGGCCTAGACGTTGGGCAGCAGCTGGTAGTATTATTGTTCGTTCGGCCCCATCATCCAGAATAGTGTGGGTTTTCAGTGACTTGCGGCTGTGACATATTATGATGGGCACCACCTTGAGATATACCTTTCCTCCTTGCTTAGAGTTGCTGAGGGTGGCTTGGTCACGTGGAGTGATGAGGTAGACACGTGAGTCTGACTTGGCAACGTTGTGTAGAACTCTCAGATGAATTTCTTGACACTCGCTGCGTGGTTTCTTTAAGGTGCATGCTTCGGGCTGGTGGCTGGTCCGACCACAGTTACGACAGCACTTACTACGTTCGAGCCATATCATGACGTCATCTGGTGAACGCTGTACGATGTCAGTGCACTGTGACAGATAGTGCTCTGTGCTCTTACAGAAGAGACATAACTTCTTGGACCTTTGTGACTTGGGATTAGAGCGGGCTGTCTCTGCAGTATGACTTATTAGCTGTTATCAGCTTCGGGTTTGTCAGGGTTGTGATAAACAGACACAGACTGCATTCGGGGCTTGGAAGCTGGAGCGTTTCTGTCTCTCCTGGAGACACGAGGCTTTTCAGGACGATGACGCTGTGCCATTTTTGCAGATAGTCTTTGAGCTTCTGCCTTAACTTTGAGCCAATTAGCGAGGTCTTTGAGGTTGTAGGGGTTTAGTCGACTTGTGTTGAGACGACCTTGTGTTTGGAAGTGCTCTACAAAACTGTCTCTCATATGCTTGGGCAGCTTACTAAGTAGTCTGTCGACATGGCCAGTTGACATCATTTCTGTCCCACTGGACCCCTCTAGTGAAGTGAGCATTCCTACTAGCAAGTCAACACTGAGGGCGAAACTCTGGAAGCCTTTGGTGTCTCCCGATCTAACATCAGGGGCATTTAAGATTGTAGCAATCTCACTTTGTGCGAGCTGATGTGGTTGTCCTTACTGGCGCTGTAATGCTTCCATAGCAGCCACGTAGCGTTGGGTATAATGTCTGCAGGACTGAGCAATTAGCTTGGCTTCATCCAGGACTAAGTGCTCCATGAGTACCCGGTACTTGTAGTGTGCTCTGACAGCTCTGTGTAGGGGCCAAGCAGGTGGTCTAGCGCCATTTTGAGGTCGGTGAATTCTCTGTCACTGTCACAGACCAGCTTGGGCAGTTCAGGTACAGGAACAGGCTGCTTCGGCATCTGGAAACTGTATTGTATACCTGAGTAGAAGGACCTGGCATTATGGGCACCGGCTGGTAGAAAGGCTGCACTGCGGAAGGAGGCTGAGGCTGGAGAACAGGTTGTAGAGGCGGACCTGGTGATAGCTTTGTGACTGGATCAAGGGCTACGCTGTAATAGCTGGTGGAGGCTGGTACACAGGCTGTGGAACTGCAGCAGGAGTGTATGACAACTGGTGGTATGGTGCAACGTTACTTCACAGAGCTGTGGGTTGAAGCACAGGGAGCAGTGCTGGTGGAGCCAGGGGTTGGCATGTTGGCGTTATCACAGTTGGAGATGGCTGGTATACTGGATAGGTTGGAGCTGTGGAACAGGGCTGGTATTGGACTGGCATATGAGTAGATGGGCTATTATGCTGGATACTTGCAGCCGTACTCACAGGATGCATTATTTGATAGGCAGGTTGGTATGATGTAGATGCTGTTGGCTTGGGGACTGGTGCAAACTGTGATGTAGATGTTAATGTAACTGGAAGGGATCAGGTTAGAATGTCACTTTGGCCATGGCTCTGGCTTGAGGTAGTGGATGTTATAACTTTGGACAGTAATACTGTGCTTGCAGCACTGGCAGTGAATGCAGCTGCTTGTGTGCTTGGCCAAGTTGTATCATCTGGCAGGAAGTTTGGGTTAACTTGTACTGATCGCTGTGATGCTGGAGAACCTGGCTCGCTGAGGCTGTACACTGTGAGGATGGTTTCGCAGGCTGCATTCACTTAGGGCAGGAGATGGCGGCCTCTCCCACACTGTTGGCAAGCTAAGATATGTACTAGCTTGTGGTGTTGTGTTCCACTGGCTCACCTTATCGACTACTGCTGCAGGGGAATGATAGGGTGGGTGTCCGAGTGCTCGAAGTAGCTGGCCATCTTGAGAAGCAGACCTGGTCTGCAGGCTGAGTGACTGCAGATGCTGTGCACTGGCACCTAAGTTTTCATCCAGATGAGGAGCAGTATAAGGCATGAGGGACTGAGGGAGGCTGAACTGGTAGCCCTGGAGGTAAGCTGGTAGCTGCCGTGGCCGTCCTGTCGCTTCACTTGCGATAATTGATGTTCTCATTGTGTCCATTTTGCTGATATGGGTGAAGTAATCCGGCTCGAAGGACCAGTGTTACGGAGAGCTAGGACTGTATGTTGTTTTAGGGGAATTCGCTGGAACACTTCATCCACACAAACACAGGCCGGAAACACAGTAGGACAGTTAACTTGGCTTTACTGATGAAGCACAACTCCAAATTACATACAGCTCTGTGTTTTTGGCTTGCTGTTTACAGTTTGATTCGTTAGAATTTATCTCTATTGTCTGTTCTGTCTGAGACTTTACATTGGTCTGATTGACTCTCTTTCTGTACTGGTATCTGCAATAAACAAAACACAATATACATGAGAATACTAGCTTAAAGAGCACATGTTAACTCTAAGTTAGCTTTAGCTTATTACCAAGTCGTAACGTTATGTTATATTAGCGGTGAAATTCGCTAATATAACACAAACTAATTAGCAATAATTAGCAGATCGGCAACGGCTCAATATTATAAGGACCCCTTAGCTGTCCAACGAGGTGCCTGATGTAAAAACACTAAATTCAGCATTGAACAAATCCTGCACCACAAACACAGTAATAATGGGGAATATACAACATACTGTATATACCAAGAGTATAAAAATAGACTGATAGTTACTTGATACAGTGTAATTTACTAATACCAATGGTTAAAATTCAATAAAACAGAAAAGGCCAGAGCAGGAGACTAAACTACATTATAGTTTACTAAAACCACAAGAACAGCACAAAACTAGGTTCCTGCAGCCCTATAGCTCTGTTATTTTTTGTGATTCATGTCATTGTCATGGTCAGTGCTGGTCATTGGATTCCATTGCAAGTCAAATATTAAAATGTTTAAATGAATTCAGAATTATTTCCAACCAGATCTTCCCCTTTCCCTCATTTTCCACAGAAAAGAGCTAAGAAACTTGAGGGTGAAACTATTTACATCAGACATAGCAATTTAATGTTGGAGGTTTGTATCTTCAGTCCTCAGATATGTGTTCTGCCTGTTTGCTGTCACTTTTTTCTGCCTGGATGGATGCTGTGTTTTACTTTTTGCTTTGACGCATCTGTTTTTCTTAATTTGTTGCCTTGTTTTCAGCTTGACCCTAAAGGCTTGGCATGCACTATTTTCCTCTCTGACTGTCATGCAAGTAGCTTCACTTCATTTTGACATTGTCATTTCATATTGTCATGGTCTCTTTTTTAACATAGATTAAAGTTTAAACTGGTAATGCAGCTTGGCCTTTGGTGCTGAAACAAACATATAAGTGAAAATGTCTAATGTGAACTAAGCTATGCATAAATACAGTACCGTGTATATATTAGGCAGGTGGGGAAAAATGCTTTAACGTAAGAGCACCTGCTATAATTGTTTAATCATACAACTGATGATTTGGCTACAAAATTGTGCAAATGTACCTAGAAGAACTGATGCTGTTTGGCAAAAGGTGGTCACACCAAATATTGATTTAATATCTATTAACATGTCTATTTTGAAGGTGTTCTTACTTTGCAAAAGTTTTAGGCAGGTGTTCAAAAATTGTGCACAGTGCTATATATAAGCTGGACTCACAATACACTTTCTTTTAAAGTCAACGATACATATGCCTGTTTTTTTAGTGATCTCCAAGAGAACAAATACACAAATATAATGACATATATGAATCTTCCCAAAAGAGTGTTGGCAAGTACCAGTCCATTGACAGGCGTACCAATCCTTAAATATGTTACCTAAATCACGTGATGTTTAACACTTAACGTCGTGAAACGGTCGTAGTTTGGTTAGGTTTAGGCAAGAAATAAGTCCTGAATTTACTTCACCCATTCATCCACCCCAACACCTCCTTCTGCAGATTTTATTGCTCTTTATATGACCTTTACATGACCTTAGTGACGAAAGAAATCAGGTGATGTACCTGATTTCTTTCGTCACTAAGGTCATGACCTGAAAATATGGGTCATAAATATGGGTCGTAAATAGCTGCTCCATAATCAACCTATACAGCCATTTATATGGTGAGGACGAGCTAGTATTAAATTTAAAAAAGCGCGGGGGGGATTTTTACATTAAAAACGTCATCAGAGTCAATGTAATTTATTTCTAAAAAATTTGGTAGACACCCCGTCCAAAGATCTCTCTCTCACTTACAGTACACAAACACTGGCACAACTGGTCACAGTAAAAATGCGTCCAGTAAAACATAGCAAGAAAGACACGGCCTAATCTGCTGCTACATCAGCCTTTCTATCATGATTACATTGGATCCTACACTTCCCATAAGGCAACTAGATAGCATGTTTTATCAGACTTTCCTTGCCTGTTTAATGCCCTCTTTTAGATTGCACACAACAATTTTTATGTCTTATCAGGGATAGTTATCAGAGTTATTTTTGCTTAATGAAGCTCCACCAGAATCACTGAAGACATTCTACAATACAGGCTGAGGCAGGTATTCTACACTACGCACGGCTTCACTATCCCCTTAAAATATGACAGAATCATGGGGCGCCTGTGGCTCAGGAGATAGAACGGGTTGCCCATTAATCGGAAGGTCGTTGGTTGGTGGCTGTTCCGCCAGTGAATGAATGTGTGTGAATGTTAGTTTCTGTTTGAGCACTTAGGCTCAGTGTATAAATGTTAGTGGATGTAGTGTAAAAGCGCTTTGAGTGGTTGAAAAGACTAGAAAGGCACTATACAAATACGCATTTTACATTTAGTCGTGATGGCGTCTAATCGCCAAAGACTCATCATATTTCTCATCTTTATACAATAAATATTGTTGACTCTCAATGAAGTCTCTCCTGATTAAATTTAAATTTGACAGCGACAAAATTAATGGCTTATGTAGATCATGTTGAAATCAGTTTGGTTTAATGACGTGTGAGAGAGCGAGATGTAGCGAGTAAATGTAATAGATACCAACCTCTCCAAGAGCAGTAACACAACATTGTGTCTGCCATCAGTCCTTCTCTCAGAGCTCTCCAATGAAGAAAAGCTACACTAATGATAATCTGCGTTTGTCCTCGCTGTCGAGGACTGGACCATCAGAAACATTTCTTAGGTTTTTCTGCCATAAGCTTTGTCATATTCCTAGTTGCTTTACCTGATTCAATCATTACAGTTGCTCCAGAGCCATGTAGATAGAGAGTTGTGTTATTTCCATTCAATTTCAAGTGGCTTTATGGGCATGACGGCATACAATACAATGTTGCCAAAGCATATTAACACACACACTATGCAATCATAATAAACATAAATTAATAAATAAAAAAATAATAAAAAAGAAACAATTTTCAATAATAAATGTTCTCCTAACAGGACCTTATTTTTGAATAATGGCAGATCGTTGCTCCCCCTTTCAGCTCTGGCAAAACAGTCATTGCTGGTTCATGTAACATGCCAGTGTGGGAATGTCACCACAGACACCAGATTTAAAAACTCTAATAAAACTGCAAAATAAAAAGAGATTTACCTGGCAGTGATAGACTTAATCAGCATTGTGTGACCTTGTTAGGCATGGCAAGGGCTTGAATGTAACAGACGTTCATTTATACATAAAAGTCCCACACTCCAGCTTTACGATCAACTTTACAGTAGTGTAGTTCTCACTATCATTATTTGGACAAAATCAAACAACTTTAAACTTCACCTTACTGATAAATTAATAGCAAATACTAAAACAATCAAAACGAGTGGCATAGCTTTTCTTGTTCTCCCTGTGAGTCTAGGGGACACCTGCCTCCCCATACCATTTAAAAAAATAATGTCACATGTTTCAGAAATTAGTCACTAAAAACATTTAAGAAAAACTGAACTGGATTTTTCACATGAATGTAAATGAATGAGCAAAACCTTAACCTGACCTTAGCAAAAACTACTATTAGTATTACTAGTATAATTACTATTATACTACTATCTTACCCTAACTGAAATAATTAGAATTATGAATAAAGGGGTGTGTGTTTTGTAGGATGTGCACATACAGAGTTAAAGACTCCTAAAGACTCCTGGTCCTGTGTACCAGCCTCAGAAAAGTTTCAGTACCTGGCCTACTGTTCTGCCATGATGTCCATAAACCTTTTCAGGACACATTGTGACTGTCACAATAAATCTCTGCACTGAAAGGGTCTATTTTCAGAGTGGACCCTACAGAGAATTTACAAAAACATTTTTTTTATTTGTTACTATTCTAACCTGTTTTCACTCTCACGTCATCTGTATGGTTGTGTTGTTAAAACACCTTGGTGTCACTTTTTAACACACTGTGAATCCCATTAGTGTAATTTTTCAATGATGTAAGTCAGGAGACAGAGTATAAAGAGCAGCAAAGTTGGTGTAGGGATGAGGTCGGAGAGGACAAACCCACGACTTTCACTGAGGACCGAGGAGTTCATTTACCATGTAAAAATCATTGTTGACTTATTTTTAACTGAGTAAGCAACGTGCATAAGTTATATGTAAGTAGTATGTAGTAGTATGTAAGTTTAACCAAAACCATGATATTTTTCTAAACCTAACCAAACTGCAAGTGTTTTACACATTAACCATGCTAAATTGATGTAGCATTTATATTGTTGTTGCAAAGTGCTTACATAATAATTAAGAAATGACACCACAGGGTCTTAACAAAGCATCTCTATGTGATGAGTTGGGAGTTAGAACATGTTGTACCAGTCATGTATGTCTTTGGCTGCGTTCAGACTGCAGGCCTTAATGCTCAATTCCGATTTTTTTCCAGATCCGATTTTTTTGTTTGACAGTTCACATTATTGTTTAAATGTGGACCATATCAGATTCTAGTGTGAACTGTCCACGGCCTGAAAGTGACCTGCATGTGCTGAAGAATAAAATGACGTCACTGGAGCACGCTGTCTTATGGAAGTAAACAAGTCATAGAGGTTACCTCCGGTTAGCTCCTATTTTCTAACCCTCCCGAATTTCACAGGAGACTCCCGTGTTTCATTGTCCTCTCCCTGTTTACTCATGGGGTCACATCTCTCCCAACTTTCTGTCCTTTGCATGACATTCACTACTGTTTCTGGCTTCCAACGCATATGCTCCACAACTCTGTTGTGTATAATAATGGCTTATGTGGAACTTTTTTGTTCATCGCTGCTCCGTCTGGTGGGGCAACAGTTGCTCTAGAGTGACGTGAAAGTCGCCAGGCTCAGGTCGCACTTAAAAAGATACGATCTGTATTGGGCCACTTTCATATGTTGTCCAAATCCGAACTGGAAAAGATCAGATTCCATGTGACTTGGACTGTTCACACTGTTATAAAAATATCAGATCTGAGTCACATATGAGCAAAAAAAATCGGATTTGGGTCACTTTGGCCTGCAGTCAGAATGTAGCTTTAGTGATGTCAGTCTCTTTTCATTTGAATTTTATACATGGACCAAACTCCCCAGCAATGCTCATGCTGTATTTATTGTCTGTCTGTGACTCAGAACTTTTGTTTCCATAATTACTGTGTCATTGTGCTGTATGACATTCTCTATTCAGTTTATATAATTTCAGAGAGAGATGACATGTTACATTACTACAGCGTGGAAACCCTCACATTGGTGAATTTCCCTTTTAAAGCTGCATTAATCAATATATTTTATATAGCCATTGACTCAAAAGACTACCTCACAAACCCTCTGAGAATTATTAGCATTCTCTGCTGTTCTCTGTTTCTTGACCTCTTCAAGCTCATAGTTATGTTTTTTACAGCCACCTAGGTTCTGGGTAAAACCTCAGCATGCTACGTATGTGACAAGTCAGCCTCCTCTATATGTATCTGCACTGTATGTGTTTGTTTCTCTGATTCAGCCTTCCATCTATATCTATATCTAAGTAATTTGAAGCTATTTTACATGGCTGTATATGATTAAAACAATAGTCACATTTTTGGAAATAGTTTGGTAACATCAAACCAGGAAGAGCAGATAAATTTCACCTATGTGTGTCCAGTACAGAGATACTGTAAACCAGCTCTACCATAACCCTGCTTCCAGTTAAAGACTACAAACAAAGCATATAATAATTAAGCTGTGATTCCACAAGGAAAAAAAGTCCGCACACTGAATACTGTAAATGTCCCAAAAGCATTCTACCTTCAAGTTCTCTGTCAGGTCAAGACAAAAATGACAGCTCTATCTACAATAAGGAGATAATACGATACAAAATCACACCCATCATCCAAAAACAATTACTATGTACATAACACATGATTGTCTTAAAAAAGGCTGTAGCCAGTAGGCTATAAGTACTGAAGTTCAATCTTCCTGAAAACAGCAGGTGGAAAAAGTACACTGTTCTTAAGTTCTTTCACCCCCATTCGTAATATATTTACATTTTTGGGAACTTGCATTATTCAGTGTACAGACAACTTTTTCTTTTGCTTTTGTGCTGCCTCTGTATGGAATGTCAATTAAATCAATATAAATAAATGAATATGACAAAGAAATAGATACTGAAATATAAAAATGTCAATATAGTTCAATTGATAAAAAGGGTTGTATTTTACTACTTTTATTTATTTCAGGAGACTTTTATTTCATAATGCCACATTTATTTCCCAGCTCTTTACTTTCATCTGTTGTATACCAAATTAAGGTGGTTTGGTAATCTCTCAGATTCAGACAAGACTGGACGGACACAGCTTCCAAGACCAACGGAGGCTAGTTTGACAACAGGGAATGCAGTACTACTGAGCAGGTTTTCTTGTCGTGTTTGACACCAACCATTCTGATGTGTCGTGCCAGGGTAATTACCCTCTTATAGGAAGTGTGCCCCTGGCTGCTTGAGCATGCATGAAGGTGAACCTTCAATTTCACCTAAGTACATGAATAATATTTGCAAAGTAGGCTAACACATCTATCAAAATAAATGCTTTAGTTCTTCTGTACATGTTTTCGAACTTCATATTATTCATTGCACAAAAGAGAGACTGTCCAAGGCAATCATATATTTTTCCTCGTATAGTCTGGTGTTATAATTTACCACAGAATCGATCACTTGGTCCTCCTTGGTTATGTTACTGTTTGGAAGCTAGATCCAGACACGCTGTATTCTTTTGTAAGGGAATTTCTCATTTAATTTGCGAGGTCTTAATACTTGGAAATAGCCGTCCTTTAGATATTGAGGGATTTGATCTGAATACCCCCAGCTTAAATGGTAAATAATAATCATAATGATAATACATTGCATTTAAATAGCGCTTTACATAAAACAAAGCATTTAATGTACTTACCAGGCTATACATGCTGTCTGCCAGAATATTTAACCCCCACTATAATGCACAGATGATGGCCTTCTATACTAAAATGAAAAATTAAACAATCCACATGTTATGTCTTTTATTTTCATTTATGTCTATACTGACTGACACTGACGGCAGCTACAAATAGCTAGTATTTAGAAGTTACTTTAGAAACTCCATAAATTACAAACAGTTGATGGAGAACAGGAGCCAAAGCCGGCAAGAAAACTACCCGTGTATGTGTACTGCATTCCCTGTGGTGTCGTTAAACCGCAAATTGGCTTCCATCGTTCTCAGAGGCTATGTTAGGTCCACAGTAGTGATGTGTTGTAGGAGGAGTCGGCTCTTTTAAGTGAAAGACAAACCAGTAACATTTTTAAACATATTTTGGCTCAAATTATTTCATACAAATTTAATTAAAAATGTGTCTGTACAGAGTTATACTATAATAGTAATACTGTTTCATTAATAGTGTGTTGTTTTTGTTATACAACAAGCCAAATGATCTGGCTCACTAAAAAGAGCCATAATAGGTCTTGCTGTTGTCATAATTACTGAGTGCAGAGGCAGGAACCCAAATGCAGACACTGGTGAGGAGGATGGAGTTCAAAAAGGTTTATTAAAATAGACAAAACAGGTTTACATAAAGCACAAGGCAAGAGTCCAAACAAAAGGGGTAAATCCAAAAAATAGGTTAATCCAAAAGGGAACAATCCAATAAGACAAGGAAACAGAGCTCGGGCAGAACACTCACAAGCGACGAGGAAACAACAAGGACTAAACAGAGCTCATCCGGTGGTTTCTAAAATACAACTACAGAAAACATACCTGACAACAGATGTAAATACACAATCCCTCGGTCAATTGTTATGTTACAACTTCAGCCCCTACACAAGTTAAATGACAAGGGAATATATTAGCATATTACACAAGTTTAAGCTAGTAGGCTAAAACACACAACTTTCTAAGCTGGTTACTAAGCAGCTTACCTCTTCCATGAAGTATAACAAAAGGGAAGAGGCAAGGGTGGGAGACCCTGTTTATAGAGGGTTGTCCCCTGAAAGTGAATGTAGGGGTACAGAAACTAAATCACAAACGTTCCTCTTATTGACACAGGAGATCTAACTCGTCAGGTGATCACTATTTACATAGAATATTGTGTAATTATAATATTACATATTTGACTCTGTTACATGAGCACATTAAATACAAGCGTAAACTAGCAGGGAGTGCAGAGATGAAACACATTAAATAATCAAGCAACAGGAAACAAAGACAAGGACAAGGACACTTCATATGACCAAAGGAAATAAAGCACACAGAAACACAAGTAAAACAGAAAACATGGAAAGACTACATAACTGAACAAAACCTGATCCAGGCCAGGGAACGAGAACACAGAATAAATTACACACCAACACCAACGACATAAACACATGAAAAAATGATGAAAAAAATGCCATGATCAAGAATCAACCAGGGAAAAATTACAACTCCAACCATAACCCAAAACCCATTACTACAACAGCTGATCTATGAGAAAACCACATTCTTCATTTAAATATAATAGATGGAGATAAAAAACAGTGAAAAACATCCTTTGAAAAATAAAAGACAATTTATTTATTGAACAACTGACTCATGTATATATTTATATTTACATTTATTTATTCCCTTATTTATTTCATAGCCATATTTATTTATTTAATTATTTATTATGATTTAAATGGCATTCCATATCTTTGTCCTGCACCTGTAGCCAACTGTTGTTGGATGTGTACACCATTCACCTTCCTTGCTTTGGTTCTGTCAGACCTGCTCACCATATGCAGGATTTTCAGAGAAACACGACACTTCCTGTGTTCATTGTTAAACCGGTGCCGTATTAAAAAACACTCAGGCATCCTCTGCGCTTCTGCTTCTTTTCTTCTGATATCATGACCCACAGGAGGGAGATTTAGAAATGGCTTTAAACTCAAAATATCAGTGACTGCTGCTGGGCTGAAATTTGGATCACAAGAAACAGTGCAGTCCAGTGCAGTCTGGTGTCTGGTTTGTCTGAAAAATAAACAAATATATTCTTCCATCACCTCAGCATGTCATTGAAAATAGGCAGGCTCAATCCAAGTATATGCCTGTGAAACAACACAAAGACATACTGCATTTAAGAATAATTTGTCAACATATTGACTAAGAGTGGCAGATTGTTCTTACAACTTACTTTTCCAATCTGGATGATTCATTATGTTTGACTATTTGTCTCCTTTCTTTTCCTAATATAAACATTTATTTTCCATATGGGACTATTTTCTTTTCACTTCCTTTTCCCTTCTTCTTACTCAATTACATTTTTACTTCCATCAATCTATTCTGACTGTTACATTCTTGTTGAAGGACATGGATAAGACCCAGACTGAGATCATGCGTCACCACACTAGCATCAGTGAGCTGAAGAGGAGTTTTATGGAGTCGGTACCGGAGCCTCAGCCAAGTGAGTGGGACAAGCGTCTTTCCACCAACTCACCTTTCCGCACAGTGAGCATCAATGGCCAGCTGCAACCAGCGGTGAGTCCAGCAACCTGAAGAGGAAATACACAGCAGCAGTACTATTGACAGTGTCAGATTATCCATATAGTCTGTCAGTAAAAAGCTTCCAAGTTGTTGAAATGTGTGTTTCTTTATGTCAATTTAGCTATGCTAGCAGATTCATCTGCTTCCAGTCTTGTGCTAAACTAGGCTAAATACACCCTATCTTTGTGCTGTATTATCACATTTGTACAGGTACCTCCGACGGTCACATGGTAAAACAAATACCAGTTATTTGTGTGCGCTTTCATTTAATTGGTATGCCAATTAAAACTGTCTTCAAGAATTGTAATTTCCCCCTTTTGTCCTGAATACCCAATGCAAAATGTACTTTTTTTCCTTTTACGAAATAACCCCTAGTGGCCATAGCATCTGCTTTTCTAAAAGATAAATGCCCAGTAATGGATCCCTGACTTGCTCAATTTGTACAACGTGAAGTATAATTATAAAATGTAAAAGTTAATCACTTACAATTGTCCATAAAAATCCAAGGAAGGTTAAAATCAAGACTAACTGGACTTGGTTGAAGGTACTCGAAGACGTTTCATACCTCATCCAAGAGGCTTCTTCAGTTCTGATTGACTGTCTAAAGAGTCATGAGCCTGGAGGGAGCCTTCTGACTGACCGGTAGGGAAACTCAGCTATTATATAACCTCTGTTCTCTATAATTATATAACCTCTACCTCTGTGGGGTCGTTGTCCACGATGATCAATACCACTGGTTCGTTGGTGCTCCTGGATGTTGTAACAACAGTTGTTATGGTCATTAGAGCCACTGAGGTCAAGTCTGAACGAATGTCATTGGCATCATCACCTGACAGAGATGTCTTTGAGCTAGAGTCCAAGTCAAGTCTCAAGTCTTTGAGCTAGAGTCCAAGTCAAGTTTCAAGTCTCTTGTGGTTATAATGAATTTTATATCACCTGCTGCGTTCACACCAGGCTGCTTTGAACACTGCATATCTATAAGGAATTCTGTAATTGTAACCTGTTTATCAATTACAGAGCACAACAATGTAATGTGCAACGCGTCTACAACTAATCACAGCTAAACTACTGTAAGTCAACACATCCCCCAGACTCTCAAACCAGTGTAATGTTATAAAACTGTAACGTTACATGATCAACAGTAAACCTGTAACCTGTTTGCAGCCAATGTTAATAATTAACATGATGGCAGCCAGCGGGGCGTAAATGATTACATTAATCTACTACCACAAGTTTGGCAAGTAAACAAACGCTCATTCATAGTTTAATAACGAACGACATTCGGACCAACCTCCCGTAGATCGTAGCTAAAACAACAAGCAAGCTAACGTTAGATGACCAATGCTGACCTAAACATGTTTACTAACCTCAGGCTTACTACCTATTTTGCGTTCCGTGCTTCTTTGTTTGGGTCTTGTTTAATGAAGTTTTAATGCAAATGTTTATGATGAATGGCACAGCAGCTGCCGGTGTTTGTTGTCCTCTCTTACGTGTGGCAGTGCACAGCTGATATGTAGCCTGTATGTGTAACGTAACCTACCTACGTTACACATACATTTAGGTAATGCAGGGAGGGCAAGCCCATCAGATGTTTCCTAAAACAAACATTCTCAACCCGGGTGTAAATGGCTTCCGTGACACCTCTTTCAAACTATCCGCACCTTGTGGTCCTCAAACTAGTGTCCTCTATCCTTCAGATGTAAGTAAACTGCTGAGTCTTGACCTGAGAAGCCTGTCTTGAGCCATGCATTTGTGATGGCCTACACTAGATTTCTTTTCTTGTGTTTGGGTGTGCGGTCTTTAGGGTGGACCAGTATCGCCTTAGCCTGTTCTAGGGTCTAAAAAACACAGGAATGTAGTATTTACTGAAAATCCTCCTGAGTTTGAAATCACAATGTTGTTGTGTTTACTCTTCTTTTTTTTTTTTATTTCACACACAGAGATCTTAAAAAGAAAAAATACATGCGAGGGTGTGGTAGAAGCTTATGGCTTATATACCCAGAAACCATACATATCCAGAAGACATACATACATTAAAGATAAAATCCAAAATCACAATAAGAATTTAAATATTAGTTATAATAAAAATTGCAAGTATATATATATGAAGTAGCCGCCACCATTTTTCTTTCAACTCAAACATTATTTTGACAGCAGGGCATTTCTAAGTCTTTTTTTGTACACAGACAATGACACAATCCATTAAATGCACATTTTCATTCCACAAGATAACTCCACAATAATTTATAGAAAACTGACCATTGCCTATACAATATTACAATATGGTTAATATGGTTAAATTAAACAATAATATAATGTTAAGAAAAATGTTTTGTGGACAAAAGCAACCTGTTCTCTCCATGAGAGTTTTATCATCCATTAGAAAACCTAAAAAACACGTTGATGAAACTTTTATTAATTCTTTACACGCTTTGCGTGCGTGTGATTGGAGGAGGTAGTACCCATAGAGTCCAGTAGAGGGCGGAGCCTGTGTGAGATAGAACTGTTCCTGAGTCTGTTGGTTTTGGCGTACAGTGCTCTGTAGCACCTACCAGAGGGCAGAAGCTTGAACGTGTTGTGTCCGGGGTGAGATGGATCTGTAGTGATGTTTCCTGCCTGTTTCCTGACTCTGGAAATGTAAAGGGCCGTTGTAGTCTGCTCCTGTCCTTTTTGGTGGCAGATCCAAACCAGATGGAGATGGACGAGCAGAGAACAGACTGAATGATGGCTGTGTAGAAGTGGACTAGCAGCTCCTTGGGCAGGTTGAGCTTCCTGAGCTGGCGCAGGAAGTACATCCTCTGCGGGCCTTCTTGATGATGCGAGCGTTGGGCTCCCACTTTAGGTCCTGGGATATAGTGGAATCCAGAAACCTGTAGGATTCCATAGCAGACACAGGGCTCTTGAGTATGGTGATGGGGGGCAGAGTGGGGGGGCTCCTCCTGAAGTCCACGATCATCTCCACAGTTTTGAGCGTGTTAATCTCCAGGTTGTTCTGGCCGCACTAGAGAGCCAGTTGATCAACCTCCCGTCAGGCTCGCTGCGAATGACACTCGACTCTGTAGCCCCTCTAAAAAAGGAAATACTAAAACAAAGACGGTTAGCTCCATGGTGTAATACTGAAACTCGCAAATTAAAGCAAATTCCACCAAACTGGAAAATTCTCGTTTAATCTGGCAAGATAGTCTTAAAACTTATAGGAAGGTCCTCCGTAATGCCAGAGCAGCATACTACTCGTCATTAATAGAGGAAAATAGGAACAACCCCAGGTTTCTTTTCAGCACTGTAGCCAGGCTGACAGAGAATCACAGCTCTATTGAGCCAAGTATTCCCATAGCTCTCAGTAGTTTCGACTTCATGAGCTTCTTTAATGATAAAATTCTAACTATTAGAAACAAAATTCACCAAGACCTGCCCTCAACTGGCACGACTTATCTCTGAACTCAGGAACCTTAGAAACAGCTGTAAAACCAGATATATGTAATAATTTCTTCATCTAAACCATTAACCTGCCTCTTAGACCCTATCCCGACTAGGCTGCTTAAAGAAGTTTTACCCCTAGTCAGCACTTCTATACTAGATATGATCAATCCATCTTTATCAACAGTACTTTAAAGTAGCTGTAGTTAAACCTCTTCTGAAAAAGCCCAAACATGATCCAGATGTTTTAGCCAACTATAGACCTATATATTCAATTCAATTCAATTTTATTTATATAGCGCCAAATCACAACAACAGTTATCTCACAGCGCTTTTCATAAAAGAGCAGGTCTAGACCATACTCTATGATGCTATTTACAACAGTTCCCACCAAGAGCAAGCACTAGGCGACAGAGGCAAGGAAAAACGTCCTTTTAAGAGGCAGAAACCTCGAGCAGAACCATGGCTCAGGGTGGGCGGCCATCTGCCTCAACCGGTTGTCTATCTATATCTAACCTTCCATTTCTCTCTCTAAGGTTCTGGAGAAAGCAGTTGCTAAACAGCTGTGTGACTTTCTACAGAGCAATAGTTTATTTGAGGATTTTCAGTCAGGATTTAGAGTTCATCATAGCACAGAGACAGCACTGGTGAAAATGACTAATTACCTCCTAATTGCATTAGACAAAGGACTTGTCTCTGTACTGGTTTTACAAGATCTTAGTGCTGCATTTGATACTATTGACCATCAGATCCTATTACAGAGACTGGAACATTTCATTGGCATTAAAGGAACCACTCTAAGCTGGTTTAAGTCCTATTTATCAGATCGATTTCAGTTTGTACATGTTAATGATGAGTCCTCCATGCACGCCAAAGTTAGTGAGTTCCGCAAGGATCTGTCCTCGGACCAATCCTGTTCACTTTATATATGCTTGCTTTAGGCAATATTATCAGGAAATATTCCATAAACTTTCATTGTTATGCAGATGATACTCAGTTATATCTATCGATCAAGCCAGATGAAACTAATCAGTTAGCTAAACTTCAAATGTGCCTTCAGAATGTTAAAACCTGGATGACCTGTAAATTTCTAATGTTAAACTCAGATAAAACTGAAGTTATTGTTCTGGGGCCTAAGCACCTCCGTGATGCATTATCTAAAGATATAGTTTCCCTTGATGGCATCGCCCTGGCCTCCAGCAACACTGTGAGGAATGTTGGAGTTATCTTTGATCAGGACATGTCGTTTAAGTCTCACATTAAGCAAATTTCAAGGACAGCCTTTTTTTCACCTACATAATATTGCCAAAATCAGGAACATCCTGTCTAAAAATGATGCAGAAAAACTAATCCATGCATTGTTTCTTCTAGGCTGGATTACTGCAATTCCTTATTATCAGGCTGCTTGAAAAAGTCCATTAAGACTCTTCAGCTGATCCAGAATGCTGCAGCACGTGTTCTGACAGGAACCAGGAAAAGAGATCACATTTCTCCTGTCTTAGCTTCTTTACATTGGCTTCCAGTAAAATCCAGAATAGAATTTAAAATCATTCTTCTTACCTACAAAGCTCTTAATG